TTTTTTTTTACTGTGTAATTTAAAGACATCTTGAGACACATATGCAGTCTGCTCTGATGGCTCATATTGTTTATCTATAGTTCAAGAAGATCTGTATCAGTTAATTAATCCTTGTTTATTTGCTGACATGCAAACTTACACACATTACTTTCTCTCTTGTAGCTCTTGGGAGTATTCGAACGTCTCCTTTAACTCTCTCTCTCTCTCTCTCACACACACACACACACACACACTGAACTTACATTGTAATGTAAGCAGTAAGCGCCTCACTCTAACCCAGATTTTGCTTTTGCTTTGTTTATTTAAACAAAAGTATGGCCAAATCAAAATTAATTGAGGTTAGCGTCTATTGAACCCATAATATACCTCAAGGTTGTTATTCCTTGAATAACTTAAATACACTATAAAAATACACCTTCTCTCTCTGAGGTTTTAAGTTTCTAGAGAACACCTAGAAACTTCTAGAAAACATGTGATATGAGGGTTAAAAGATGATAGAGCCCAGTGGCCTTGACAGCTGACTGTGCCTCCTATTTTCCTCTGTGATAGGATGACAACTTTGGTGACTGGCATTTGTTCAAATGGACAATATGTTATTTGTAAATGGGCGGCGTGTAAAATGAAGCTCCCCACCCTGGCGTGGCTAGAGTTAACCCCTCTCCCCACCATCAGCAGTCCCCTCTTTCTAGGGCCCGAGGAGACCAGGCAGTCTGTGGCCCATCATGGCACTGTCCTGGGTAGGACCGTGGGGAAACCAGGTGGTGCAATGAGTTTATCAAGTGATGCTGTGTTAATTCAGCTCAACATACAACAACTAAGGATGTGGTTTATCACTGTACAGTAGCTACAGTAGGGTGAATACAATACAGGTAGTGTGTGACAAGTGGTAAAGAAACCTCCACTACTAAAAATCAGCATTAAGTTCATCCCAGGATAGAATGACATTGATGCCATTTGGGTTTGCATGTTTTAAAAACAAAGCTTATGACAAATTTTCAGAAACATTTCCACACAGTATTTTAAGGTAGCCTGCTATGTTAAATGATTGATTGACACGCCACAAATGACTTTATTGCTAATATAAAATAAATGTACATTATTTTTCTTGAAAGTGATTTAGATTATACATAGGCTATTTTAAAACTATGAAACAAGCAAAGTTACATTTAGGCTAATTACTTTTATTTTTAAAATTGTTATTTACCTTTTAAAAAATAACCAAATAAAAAATACTAAAGAAAGAGCCTAGATATATATTAAAAAAAAAAAAAACTTTCCTAGAGCAATATGAATCAAAAGTTTAGTTAGGCCTACTAAAGTGTTAATCCACTTTTTTTTTTAATATCGCAAAAAAGTGCAACAAAATCTGTCAGTGTAAGATCTTTTTTTGCATGTAGCTTGTCAATCACAAGTTGTCTGTAACAACGTGAAGACGAAAAACAAAACGAAAAATTTAC